CAGATGTAGCCCATAGGCAGCTCAGTGTCCATGTGGGTTCCCTAGTAAGGGGAGCAGGGGCTGTTTCTGAAATGGATTCAGTAGCTTTGTTCACCTCCCCTGGTGAGGTGGCCTAAGTAGGCCACAGAGAAAGTTGATACAGGCAGTCCTTATGAGACCTGATGGACTAGGGTCAGATAGTAGGGGAAGAAGACCTCCTCTATCAGTGGACTAGGGGAGGGAGATAGTGGGGAAAAGGGAGGGAGGGTGGGAACGTGGGGAGATAAGGGAAGGGGCTATAGACGGATATACAAAGTGAATAACTGTAATCAATAATAATAATTTAAAAAATTAAAAAGATGGTTATAAATTGGTACTACTTGCTTCTTTGTTGCACACAGAGATGGAGAGAAGGTAAAGAGATGGAGAGGGAGAATGAAAGTTAAGAGGACTGTTTCAGAAGCTTCAAGGCCTTAGAAAATGTTACCTACTTTCCCATTGGCTTAACTTTTATCGGGTGTTGTGATAGGGAAAATGAGTGCAGAGGTTATTCCATTTTCTATTCTTGTTGAGGGCATTGTAGTTTGATTAGAATTTGATCTTCCTGACGGAAAGTGTCAAGGAAAATTACCCAACCTGAGGTCAGTATGTCCCAGCTAACATCTTAGCTTTTGTTAAACCACTTGCTTGTTCAGAATCCCCAGCCTCTCTTGCTAATTAATTATCTGTGCTTATGTTAAACTGTTTGATTGTTCAGAATCTTCTCCTCCAGCTAACTGCTTATGTTAGCTTTAGTTAATCTGCTTGCTTGCACAGAACCACTCCTGATGCTGTTGAGCAAGATACTAGGATTCAGCTTTCTTTCTTTTTCTTTCTTTCTTTCTTTCTTTCTTTCTTTCTTTCTTTCTTTCTTTCTTCCTTCCTTCCTTCCTTCCTTCCTTCCTTCCTTCCTTCTTTGCCTTAAAAAGAACCCTTACTCTAGCCAGGCATGATTATACATACCTTTAATCCCAGCACTTGAGAGGCAGAGGCAGGCAGATCTCTGTGAGGCCAGTCTGGTCTACCAGTGAGTTCTATGACAGCCAAGCCTACACAGAGAAACCCAGTCTTGAAAAGCAAAGCAAAATGAAAAATGAAACAAAACAAAAACCCAATTGGCTATATACCGTGTTTGCTTGCTCTTCTCTGGTGGTCCCCCTATAAGAGTATCTTGTCTTGAACCAAGAACTATGGCAAGGAATCAGAACAAAACTCATCAGTTTTCAAATTGGCCCATATTTCTAACTATTGCAACTACCATGGGCTATATTCTCTCCAAAGCACAAATATAATTCATGGACAAGTAAACAAGAGTGAGGGTAGTTACCAATAAAAGAGACATTAAATTTTATAGAGAGTATTAAAATGTGTGTGCAGATACCCACAGAGGCTGGAAAGGGGCATTTGATCCTCCAGAGCTGGAGTTATAGGTGGTTGTGGGTCACCTTATGTGGGTGCTGGGAAATGAGCTTGGATCCTCGGGAAGATCAGGAAGTGCTCTTAACCAGTGATCCATTTCTCCAGCTCTAGTTTTGTTCATTTTTATTTGATAAATATTTGTTGTGACTTTAAATAGTGACAGGTACTTATGCAGAACACTGTCTTGTGTGGAAGGGAACATTAATCATAATATAAATCATAGTATAGCACAGTGTTAGGAAGGTTAGAGTGGAAATATTGTTTATTAAGAAACCACATCGCAGGAGAAATGGATGGACTTCTCAGACAGGGAAGGCTTCCCTTTATATTTAAGTGATTAACTATAATCTGAGGCATTTGGTAGAGAGATGTAGAGAGTGGTTCACAAGTCAGAATCTTGGAGGGCTTGCATATGAAATCATCACAAATCATCATCAGCTTAGCAGCTGGAAACTACAAGCATTTATGGCAACTAAGTCTGAGAAGTTTGGAGTTTTACGAGTCCAAGGATAAGCTGGGCATGGTGGTGCACACCTGTGACCCCAGCATTTGGGGAGGCGGAAGCAGTGGATCTCTGTGAGTTTGAGGGCAGCCTGATCTACAAATCAATCCAGGACAGCCCAAGGCTACACAGAGAAACTTTGTCTCGAAAACAAAACAAAACAAAACAAAACAAAACAAAACAAAACAAAACAAAGAAACAACAAAAAAGAGTCCAAGAATATATATCTCCTTTGGCTAAGTGGTTTATGACCTAGAATCTTTCAGAGATTACAGTGAAAGTGAGGTGTGGATCTAAGCCTCAGGCCAGAACTATGCCATCTCCAGTTTATATGGTGGGAGGATCTGCTGATAAGTTTTGAGGGGGAGGAGAAGAAATGGTAGTGGGAGGAGAAAAACAAGACAGGGAGAAGGAAGAGAGGGGATGGGAGAAGAAATAGAGGTGGGGGGGAAAACATAATAGGAATGTTGATACATATATTACAACTCATTTGGTCCAAAGTCCAGAATACCTTTTCTGTCAAGTCCGCAGGCCCACCTTTAAAGTGTTGGTTTCAGTGGGACTGTGGTGGAATCCAAGAGTTTGCCTTCTAACAGGCTAGATGTTTGTCTTAGTTAGGGTTTCTATTGTTATGCAGAGACACCATGGCCATAGCAATTCATATAAAGGAAAACATTTAACTGGGGCTGGCTTACAATTCAGAGGTTTAGTTCATTATCATCATGGTGGGAAACATGGTGGCATGCAGGCAGACATGGTGCTGGAGAAGTAGCTCAAAGTTCTACATCTGGATCAGCAGGCAGCATGAAGAGACAGTGAGCTACTGGGCCTGGCTTGAGCATCTCAAACCTCAAAGTCCACCCCCTAGTGACACACTTCCTCCAACAAGGCTGCACCTCAATAATGCCACTCCCTATGAGACTTTCGGGTCCATTTTCATTCAGACCATTACAAGATTTCACGAACCACAGAGAGGCCTGTGCAAGACCTTATTTTTACACAACAAACTGAAAAAAACTTTGAGATGATTTAAGCTCAAGAGAGCTAATAATAATGACCACTGAAATCAACTGGATTTAGTTTCTAGACTAACTGTACAAAAGAGGACCAATCTAATATATATTCGATATGATTAATTAAATAAAATTATTTAATTGTCACAATGAAATGGAGAGAAGTCATTAACAACTGAGTCATTAAAATAACTGAGACACTGAAAGGCTAGTAGAGTAGTTTTAGGTCACATAGCTTGCTAATGATCATACCAACTTTAGGGCTGGGTCATTTGAGCTGTGTATCAGCTCAAGTTTTCATTATACAGGCCTGTTTCACATTTCCCCAACTTTTAGGTCTGTGCTATCTGTTAGGGATTCATAAAATCAGGCACATTGATTTTAAGTAATTGAAACATCAGAATAAATATTTTTAAAGTAGCAGCTTGTGAAGAAAGAAAGAAAGAAAGAAAGAAAGAAAGAAAGAAAGAAAGAAAAGAAAAATAGAAAACTATGAAGTTGATGGATGAGTCCAGAAAAATCAACAGTGGTATATCACATAGGCTGAAAATTCTCTCTCCACAAACACCCAACTTTTCCCTTCTAGGTGATAATCATCCATAACTGCTACCAGTAAAACTCCATCTGTATGCAGCACCCAAGAAAATGAGTAAACAACTACAGGCCATGCCTTCTTTTTGTCTGCCCATGCTCTCCTAACTGCAGTTAGTACTCTGTTTTGTCGGTAAAACTGCTCTTTAGAAAGGTTGTTACCAAGTCTCTTTAGGCTTTGCTTTGAATGGGAAACACAGAGTAGTCCAGGTAGCATGCATATGATGCGCTTGTAAATCTGGAAATTCGGGATGTCTCTGTATGCATGTGCTATTTATCTTTCTTTAAATTCAAAGAGCAGAGGTACGACAATGTCATAAAGCGAAGAAGGGGGTACATACCCAAATAAAGGCATAAAAGCTTTATGTTAATAATCAGGTCAAGAAGAATGTTTTTACCCTTCTAGTTGATGTTTACACATTACTAAAAAAAAAAAAATTAATGTTTGGTGGTCATGGCTAATGCAAGCAGATATTTCATATATCCACGTTAGGAAATATCGATTTCACATACTGAGCCGTGAATTCAAGTTCACTGTAAATGCACAGAAAACCGAGCACCATGTAAACATAAATTCCTGCACCAAAGTGGTAGTAGTGGTGAAACTGAGTCAGAGTTCTCTGGTGGTGAGGGCTTGTGGGAGAATAGTCGGTGCTTCTAATTTGAGCCTCTCTAAGGGATGTGGAACGGAGGCAATGAAATAACTATGATTAATCCCAACGAACTGTTTTGGGATGAGGGAATCTAGGAAGCATAGCAACTAAGTGTTAATGACCTGGATTTGTAATTGATTAATGCAATGGTGATAGTGGTGAGAGGGGCATGAAATAGTGACCTGATCGTGTGCATTTATTGGCCCAGTTGTTAACTACTGGTACAGGGCCAGGAACCACAGCCAGTGATGTAACAGTCCTGTATTGTTACAATCCTGTCCAAAGGTATTCACCAGAGTGAAGGTGGGCAGACAGGGAGCAGAGCTCCTGAGGCCAGGTTAACTGATATTACAATAAATTTTGTTCAGTGGCCGGGGTTGGGGTGAACCAGTAGCTTCCACTTAATTCTGTACACTGTTGGGGGCGAGGGGGTATGACACAAACCATGAATTTGAAAACAAAAAACAAACGTAGGACTGCAAGGAACAACTTAAAGCAGAGCAGTCAGCTGATCTGAGAATGGCCTTCCGGAAGAGGGGCCTAGAGCAGAGCTAAAGATCTAGTTTCAGGACGCGGGATCCCAGCGTCCTCCAGGTCTCCAGAGCACTTTTCTGCCTCTGGAGAACTAATCCGGGGCGGGACCAGCGAGCAGGCTCGCTGGGGGGCCAGTCCGAGAGCCACGGGCGAGGAAGGGAGGTTTGTGCACGCTCCCTCCCCCCCCCCCCCCCGGGCCCCTCACAGCCCACGCGCGCCGCGTACGTGCGGCGGCAGACCCCGCCTGCAAGAGGCGGGGCTTAAGGGGCCTCGGGCAGCGGGCCCCGACCGCCTGACTGCTGCCGGTGCTTGTGTTAGGTGCTGCTGCTGCGGCGGAGACTTAGCTGGTGGCGCAGAGGCCGAGCCCCAGGTGGAGGTGAAGCCCCTCCGGCGCCGCCTCCGCTTTTGTGGCTCGGCGTCGGCGGCCTCTGCGGCGGTCCTGGACGTCTTGGGGGGGATCTGCGCACTGCCCGGGTGAGGATGCGGCTCTTCTACCGGCTGCTAAAGCAGCCGGTGCCTAAGCAGATAGAGCGCTACTCCCGCTTCTCTCCGTCGCCACTGTCTATCAAACAGTTCCTGGACTTCGGTGAGTGCGATGCTTTGCACCCACCTCCAAGGCCGGAAGGAGCTGCCAGCCTTAGTCTGTTTGCTGCTGGGGCTCTCCAGCCTCAAGGCAAAGTCCGTGGGAATCTCTGGGAGGGGTGATGGCTTGGATGCCTAGGAGCCCTCCTGGGGCTTAGGTTTCGGGTTTCGGGAGGTGGAGGGGCAGGGCCTGATAATCCCTTGCCCAGTTTCGTCCTAGTTCCCTCATCCCAGTCGGAACTTCCCAGCCATCCATCATTAGCTTCAGATATACTTGACTCAAACTACACTGCCCTTAAAACTTCAGAAAGAGATCTCTTAAACGTTTTTATTTTTAGAGCTTCTTAATGGTTGGCTAAGACGTGTTTAGAAACACCTTGAGGTTGAGTAAATTATGCAACAGCTTTTTGTTCCTTTTCTGCTGTAAGGTGTGGGGTAGCCTGAACGTCTACATTGTGATTATGACGTAAAAAAAGTCACAGTCCTGGGCTGCAGATGCCTTAGATACTGGGCAAGAGTTAACCCGTGGGCTCCTGGCTGCAGAGGAGGGTTTCTAGGACAACTCCAGCCTAAGTATGAGCACCTTTCCTTGATGTTCCTTGCATCCTGTTAGCAGCTGGGTTAATACTTAGTTTACATGGATTGGGGTGGGGAGTTAGAGGAGAGAACCCCCAGTAAGGCCTGAGGCCTATTTAGGAATAGATTCTACCTCCTTCCATTAACTGATCAATCATGTTTCCCCAGAGGATGTCATTCCAACTCCAGCAGGCCGAATGTGCTTTTGAAACAGCTGAAAATAAAACAAAAAATGGAACTCAGCATTCCCAAAGGAAAATCAAAATCACTTAGACACCCAATGCCTAGATCTGTTTGTTTCATTTGATTTAAATATTACAGGATGGTGTTATTTCGGTATTAAAAAAAAAGTGCAAAATAGGTAGAACCTTCTGGGAGGACCAGATTTGCAAAATGTGACGTTGCCTATACTTGGGGGAAACATACAGGATGGAAAAAGAGGTATATAGGTTATGGATTTAAGCTTGATGCCAGATCGAGTTTTAGAAGTTGCCAAAGACTGAAGATGAAAATCAAAGATGAGTGTGAATTTGGCATTTGCATCTTAAGTTTTATTTTCAAACTTCCTCCCTCCCTCTGTCTACTTGTAAAATCTTTCTCTCTCTGGCTACTTATGAAATGTATTTATTCTTAAACATTTTATGTATGTATGGTTTTGTGTTTGTGTGAGCACACATATATGTCATGGTGCATCTGTAGAGGTCAGAGGACAACTTGTAGGAGTTCTCTCCTTCAACCATGCGATCCCAAGATCAAACTGCTGTCAGGCAGCAAGTGCCTGTACCCACCACACTTTCTTACCCACCCTGCTTATAAAGCTTTGTAGGTTTGAGGCAGGTCCTGACTTCACAACCTAAAACGAAAATGTTGCTATTACTATAAATAGGCATGTTTTCCTAACTTAAAGTTAGAGATGTTTGTGAACATAAGAACCTTTTGTTTGGGTAAACTGAGACAGTTTAATTCCCAGGAAAAAGAACAAATGAAATCTCGTCCACTCCCACCTTCAAAGTTCATGATGGTTTGAATAGCGTGCCTGAAATTTCATTTCATTTATTTCTGTGGCAGTGTCTCCAGTGCTAATAGGTAGGTAGGCAAGGATGTTATTTGAGTAGGAAAACTACAGTTGGGAATAGTGTTATGGTGGATAATCCTATAGGGTGAGTATATAGAAACAAATGTTCACTATTTTAAAGCCTTGAGAACAGTGGTTTGGGACCAGCGCCCCATGGCCTGAATTTCTGGTTTTGGCATGTGGGTAGGGTGTAGGGCACTGGTATTTTTAGAAGACCCTCAGGTCATTCTAAAGCATTACCAAGGTTAAAGACCATTAACTAGGTGCACTTCTGGCTGATCTGCTGTTCTTCTTTCTTCTGGGGTGGAGTATTTGTTTAAGCTCTTTAAAATAATTTCTTGTCTGCAAGAATAACAAGCGGAGTATCATTTTACAAAGGTAGTACTATAGTACCATTCCCAAGGGCAAGATTTAAAAAAAATACCCAACATCAAAAATTATATGTTCTTTTTTGGCTCAAGACGACAGCTGCATGGTTCCAAATTCAAAAGGTGCAAAAAGACCTAGGCAGAAAAAGACTGTTTCCTACTTCTTGTTAGTCTTGCAATTTTTTTGTGTAAGTTACATGTATACTTTTATTTGTACTTTGCTTTTTAAAGTTGATACAAAAGAACTTCCCTTATATGTATCTGTACACTTCCTTTTCCTTTTTATGGCTTTTTATGACTTCGGAGAGTTCATATGGTTGTAGTATAATTAGATGACTAGTGGGATGTTTCTAGACTTTGCTATGACAAGAAGTGCTACAGTGAGTTGCTGTGTATATTATAATTTCAAGAATGTCTGGGAGTAGACAAGAAAAATTCCTAAAGATGACCTTGCTACATCAAGGATGATACACATTTGTAATTTTGATAATTGTTAACAAATTCCTTTCCATAGGAGTTTTCTGTTTGCGTACTTACTGGAAATTTCTGAGACAGAGTACCTGTTTTCCTGTATTTCACTTCATAGTTGTCACACTTTCGACAGGTAAAAAGTCATGTTTACATAGAATGTTTTTTTTTTTCTTCAAGTAGACTTTATCCTGGCTTTTCATTATGAAAAATTGTAAACATATGGAAGTAGAAGAAATAGTTTGAAGTCTTGGGTCATTATACTGAAAGCCTTGTGTTGTTTGTAGGTGTTTGCATATGCAGGCTGTTAATTTTTTTTTTAAACCAAAGTTAGGTTTGTTTTAGAAATACTTTTTTTTTTTTCAATTAAGAGTAATATATATTTTTTGAGTTAACTGTTCTTTAAAGATTTGGTAAAACAATCCTATGAAACCTTCCACAAGTTTCTCTATTCTATGATATTGGTCTGTGTAGATTTTCTGTGTATCTGGAGTTTGTTAGAATAGATTTTTCTAGAAAATCATAATTTTCATCAATATGCTCTGGCCAGTTTGGATAGATTAGATAACTTCTCTCCATTTAGGAGCTTGTTTTTTTGTGCTTTTAAGATTTTTTGTTTGTCTTTTGATAAGTTTATAAATGTATATAATGCATTCTTACTACTTTCTCCCCATTCCTCTTTCATCCATCTCCCATCCCTATCAACTCCCACCCCACAGCCCTTTTCCTGGCTTCATAGCTTTTGGATTGTTTTAGGATTCATATAATTTAACCAGAGCTATCTTTGTGACCATTGGATTGGAGCTTGGTAGGATCTTATTTATTTATTGAGACAGGGTCTGAAAAACCCTGTGTATACCAGGCTGGCCTCAAGAGATCTGTCTACCTTTTCCTTCTGAGTGCTAGGATTAAAGACATGTGTCACCATGCCTGGATATTTTTATTTATTTATTTATTGACTCAGTCTTACTATGTAGCCAAGCTAATCTAGAATTCACAATCCTCTTCCATAGTCTTCTGAGCACTAGGATTAGAGATGTGCACCACTAATGTAGCTTTGAGAGTAGTCTTAACAGTCTTAATGTTTTTTCTTGATTTTTTTTGTCTTTATTCTCCATGCTTCCCCCAATCTTTAATTTAGTTAGGGTTTCATCTCTAATCTTTAATTTAGGTAGGCTTTCATCTCTGCTATGTAGCCCAAACTGGCCTTGAATTCTCTTGTTGTTGTTGTTGTTTTGAGACAGGGTTTCTTTGTGTAGCCTCTGGGACTTGCTTTGTAGGCCAGGCTGTCTTTAAACTCAGAAAAATCCACCTACCCCTGCCCCACAGAGTGCTGGGATTACAGGCACGTGCCACAGTGCCTGGCTTGGCCTTAAACTATTAATAAACTTAAAATATTTTATTTATTTATTATTTATACAGTATTTTACCTGCATGTGTGCCTACATGCCAGAAGAAGTCACCAGATCTCATTTTAGATGGTTATGAACCACCATCTGGTTGCTGGGGATTGATCTCAGGACAACCAGTACTCTTAACTTCTGAGCTACCTCTCCAGCCCCAGTCTCAACTTTTTTGAGTGAATTACAGGCATGAGGCACCAGGCCTGACTTCCACCCTCCTCTTGATTCAGTTACCAGGTGGTTTATTTGGTTAAACTTATTTTCTTAGTTTTATGGCTTTTATCTTCCAGTTCATGCTTAACCTTGACCTTCAGTCTCTTTGATATGCTTAAATCAATTTCGTTCTTGTTCTTTTCTTTTTTTCAAAAAGTTGGATACTGTTTTCTTTTTTGTCATTGCCTTTAATTTTGGGTCTTTTCTATTGTTTTAATTTTAATTCTATTTTATGTACATAGGTGTTTTGCCTGCATGTATGTCTGTTGACCACTTGCTTGCCTGGTGCATGCAGAGGACAGAAGAGGAAGTCAGATTCCCCTGGAACAGCAGTTACAGACTGTTGTGAGCTACCTTGTAGGTACTGGAAACTGAACCCACGTCCTTTGGAAGATCAACCAGTGATGTTAATGGCTAACCCATTTCTTCAGCCCTTTTATTTCTGTTTTTTAAGGCTGTTAGCTAGCCCTCTGATGAGTGCTTTAGCAGCTGATAGGTGTATTTGACCTTCACCCCATATCCTGGAAGATGTTTATTTTTTCATGAATTAGGATTAATTTGAGAGTGCTGAAACTTCCATTGTAGGTTTATTATATATACTAATTATCTTTAGTTTTGTTGCACAATTATAGAATGTTCTCTAAATTCTCTGATTTATTGATGTTTGTTGTGTATGTGGTTATTTCCTGGGAGTGTTCCTTGAGCAGCAGAAAGGCTGTTCTCTCTTCTCAGGTTACAGAATTATATATACCATATTGTTGTTTAGGCTTTTTATAACTTTTTATGTCTTAAATCTGTTTGATTGGTTGTGGATCAAACATGAGAGAGTCTTTTAATATAATTCTGTTTTTCCACATGTGTCTAGTTTTTGTCATATGATTGCTAATGTGATCCTTGATAC